AAAAAAAATTTAAATTATGAAATCTTGAATATTGACAAATCTTGTATTCCTCTTTATTAAAATCAAGTCAAATTTTCCTAATACGTCCTGTCAGCAGAATATATTATATGCTTTGTAATTTACAATTAAAGTGTTGGTTCTTCAAAACTAGGGTTCAAACCTTTAAATTAAAAATAATAATAATAAACCAAATTTAATATACATTATTGATAGGTTTTTGAGCAATACTGTTATGTTTCACAATCATTCGTTAAAAAATTCTTGAAAAGTCGTTTAACTTGTGCATTCAATTGCAGCAAATTAATCCTCGCTAATAAATTTCTTATTAAAGTTCATGTTGATTTAATTTCAATGACAATCCTTCTATATGGAGCCTTTAATTATATCTGCCATATTAACTAAAATTCTTCTTTTTGAGCATAAACAAATTCTTGCTTTTTATAATTAGTGTAGCTAGAACATATGAAAAAAATATATATACAAAAATATCTTTGCGATGTATTGGTATTTAAATTGAACTCAAACGGGTTGAATTTTAAAATTGAATGTGCAGCAAATGGATAAAGAATTAACTTTTAAATTTGAAATTATTAACAATTTGAGTGAATTAAATTTAATTTTTACTTAAGAATATTTAAAATCAACTTGTATTGATTCTAACTCTAGTAGGATTCCATTCCAACGCATGTACAGTACGTACTACATAATCGGTTACGACCAACTAATAATTTTGTAAATGAGTAGATAAACTTGTAATAGAATTTATGTGTGATCAATCTTTAGAAATATTTGTTCATGGTTTTAGCGCAGCTAGACATATGCATTTTCATATTGCAAAATCTGTATAGGTTCGAGACTAATTAATTAAAACCATATAATGTACATTAGTTATTCATCTGGACTAATTTTTTCTATACACCAAAATTTAAAGGGTATTGCGTAGCAGATCAGTAGTGGTTAGATTTTTATTTGATTGATATATCGTATATTGATATCGGCATAAATAAACGTAACAGTAATGATTTGATTAGCGAAAAAAGTAATCGGTTAGACGCAAGCTCTATTATGTAATTTTTAAAATTTAGGGTACTTTCTAGTGACGTACACATCAATAACATCTAACAAAAAATTATAACTTAAAGGATTATTGATGTTTACTTTGATCAGAAATTTTTTATGTTGCATGAATAATAACAGTTATACTCTAGTAACATTCGTTTTAATATTTTATTATAACAATAAATATTAAAATAATTGAAATGATTCCAAAAATTAAAGAATTACCGAGAAACTTTCATAAAATATTTAGTGGAAAATAAAGCTATGTTTTAAGTTTTTTTCATTAATATATATGATTTGAACATTCATTTCTGAAAATATTTAAATTTCATTATAAAATGAAAAAACTCATATCTTTTAAACATTTAGTTAGAAATTTACTAGAGCTTTTGTAAAAATCGAATGTAAATTGGTGAAATGTTCTAAAAAAAAAATTATATATTAATCAACCAGTTCAAGAAGATAACTGTTTCCTTGAAAATTTTTCACCAAAAAAAGATATGACGTTTCCTACAATTAAATATATTGAACTTAGCATAAACAATATAAGTAAATCTAAGAATTGGACCTTCAAAGACTATTATGAAACTTCTAGTTTTGGTGTGTATTTATTTAATTCAGGTAGTTTTTTTTTTTTATTTAATTGGTTTTTTTTTATTCTTCATTTGAGATGACAATAAATAAATAGAATGTGATCTATTGGACAGTAACTTTCAAGATGATTCATTTGTCCAATCATTTATTGATAAAAATCAATATTATTTATCCGCAAATATGGTATGTACAATTTAAGTTAAATAAGTTTCTAACCAAAAATTATGTTATTAATAAAATCAATCAAATCGGTAGGAACCCTTAAGTTAATTAGGTATTCCCTCACTATTTCCTGATAAGTATTATATTAAATCAAGTTTACGTAAGTTTTATTTAAAAGTTATCTTTATAATTTGTAATCTAAAACAATAATATTACTTTTGTTTTGATTAATAATTTAAATGAATCGAATAATTTCTTTAAACCTAGATATTCGTATGGGTAGCCGTATTTAGAAGAGGAAACAGAACAAAGTAAAAACATAGTAAAAACATTTAACCATTATTAATTGTATTATTCGTGCTACAACCCGACCATCAAAGCATGCGGCAAGTGCATGGGTCGGGATCAGAGGAACGAGTCAATCAGTGAAATTGCATGAATCAACACGCAACCAGAGAAACGTAATAGAAAAGCCACCGACCACAATCGATATACAAATAACCGATAACAAGTTGCTTTTGCACTCTTTTCCACTTTGACACATTAGCCTTCGGCGAACAAATTTCTCGACCCAACCTCTCCCACCACACACTGAATCTCCTGATTCTGCCATTTTCCTATTTAATAGCTGGCCTGCTTCGAGTAGGCGGGAAAACACCGGCTGATGCTGCTTCTCGCTCTTTCTACTGTTACGAAGATACCTGGCGCAATCTCACTTGCTAATTTTCTGGGAGCATATCATCGTTTCAGTTCGATTTCCAAAAATTCGACCGACTTAGTGTACAGTATAAGTCGACTAAGCTGACTAACTAAATCGACTTATACTATTACTAAGTTGTTAAGCTAGACAAAATAGCATCAAAATGATTGTGCATTATTAATAATTCAGTAATTGAGACCTAAGCCCCAAACAATATGCAAGCATCTTAAAAAAAAAAGAAATTAGCCAATTAGGGTAGCTGCGCGATGCAGTCACTAAAACCAGGAACGTTACATGAGTACGCTTCATTTAGAACTAGAATTATTACATTATTATAATTTGATTTTAATTTTCATAAGAATTAAAACCCATTATTCCAATATGGGGCGTGGTCAACTAAAAGGGGGGCTTATGGCTTTTATCCATTTTGAGAAAACCACATTTCAAATTTGGTGTACAATAACAATGGTTTCTATGACTCCGCAGCAAGGATCGACAACTGAATTTCTAAATTCTAATTTTAGATCACATCTAATCCAGTACTGTAATCGTATACGGCTAGGCATCGATAAGATTTTATTATGTAATGAATCGATATTTTAAATATCAGATTCATTTTTGCAAAAAATGCTATAAGCCCCTTTTAGCTGACTGCGCTCCATATTGTTTATTTATTTTGCGCTATCAAGTATTTCATTATTGCATTCAGCTATACTTCTACTAATTATAATCGTACTCACCATCTTTAATATTTATCTTCGATTTATCTTTAACCTATTGTTGACAAGGGAATATTTAGATTACGCATAAGAGTATACGTAACATGTAGTACACGGGCGCAAGGCGAAGTAAAAATCGAAATAAAATAAACATATTTAGGCCATTCGCATATTAGTTACGGCTTTAAATTCTATAGATTCACATATAATTAGATTAAAAAACAGAATAAATTTGTGTTATGCCTACTGTTGCATTAAATAAATAAATAAATAAATAGTTACGCGCTTTTTGAATTAAAAATAAAGCAATAGACACTTAATAAATAATTGAACCTGGGCCTGTATTATTTTCACAAACAATCACTTTATAGACAACTTAATTCATAGACAATTAACGAAAAGCATCGGTACGACTGGTTTTGTGTTGGATAAATGCCGGATAGCCAAAGGTACCGGAAATAAATTCAATTAAAGGACATGAAGTCCGCAGAATACATTATGAGTAATTTTAGCTAAGTAAATCGAACTGAAA